GCTGCTGGGGGAACATTCGGCGCCCAGAGGCCCCGCGTGGGCTGCCACGCAAAGGAACGCAGCCCCGGAGCCCCTCCAAGCCGCCTTCCCCACTCGCTGTTCCCACAGCTGCTCCGCAGAAGGATCGTGGGAGGTGGGAGGCAGGCGAGAGCAGAGGCAAGGCCAGCAGCCCCCGGGTTCCAGCAAGGTGCAGCCTCTGTGTATCTGGGGACTCTGTCCAGAGTAGAGAAACTGAGGCTCTGGGAAAGGCAGGGTCTGTTCTCATTCTCCACATCCAGAGTTGAAATCCTGCCTCCCTCTTTCTCTGCTCTAAATTCTCCCATGACTCCCCAGCACCCTCAGAACAAACCCACACACACCCCCTCCCCGTGTTCCCCAAGACCCTGCTCAGCTCCTGCAACTTCACCTGAGGGTTCACCCCCACCTCATGGTTCCCTGGGCTTATTCACCTCTGGCCACCCCAGCTTCCACATTGGTCTTTTAGTAAAACCAGTCCGTCCGTTCCTCAGGACCTTTGCACGTGCTGTGTTCCCTCTGCTCCTAGTCCATCTCTCAAAGAGACAATTTTAGAAATCATGGATGGTCATGCGGAGAGCTACCTGGGAGTCAGGATTCGAACCCAGGTCCATCTGAGACTCTTACCTTTCCAAAGTACCCTGCAAGGCAATGTCATAGTTTGGGTTTGGTTTAATTATTTTATTTTATTTTATTTTTTATTTTTTGGGTGGGTTTCGAGACAGGGTTTCTCTCTGTAGCTTTGGAGCCTGTCCTGGAACTCACTCTGTAGACCAGGCTGGCCTAGAACTCAGAGATATGCCTTCCTCTGCCTCCCGAGTCCTGGGATTAAAGACTTGTGCCACCACTGCCCGGCTATTTATTTTCAGGATATCTCTATGTAGCTCAGACTGGCCCTGAATTCACAGCAATCCCCCTGCCTCAGCCTCATGAGTGCTAGGATGAGGGTTGTGAACAAGGCCACGTTTGAAGTTCTCTTTCAGGTCCACTGCCCAATGAAGCTGGCTGACCCCCAGATTCTGAAGTTGCCTTGCCTAGGTGCCAAAGACCCTTGGGGCCCCTCCTTCCCAAGCTCCTCCTCCCATTCCTGCTCCCTAGAGTCCCTCCCAATGTGGCCACAATTCCTCGGCCCACTTTCTGCCCTTCACAGGCCTGGATGCTGGAGCCTACAAGGAGTATTAGCCAAAAATAATCCTTCGACCTACCTCCTGAAAATGGGCCAGCCCCACCCGGCCACCTGGCAGCCAGGAGGCAATTAGCGCACGTGGTAAATGAGGGTAATTAGATCTGCGGGAACTCACTGCCACCCAGATCCCAGCACCATCCCCTGCTCTGCTGCACAGCAGGGCAGCCCCTTGTGCCAACACGTGAGCAACCTGAGTTCCACTGCTTCCAGGATCCTCTCACCAACCAAAATTTTCCTGGGAGAGAAACCCAGGTCTGCAAAATCACCAACACGCTCCACCTTCTCCTTGCCCCCAGGGCCCACCATGTGCTACTGAGGCACACTCAGACCGAGGGAGTCAGGAACTGGACACAAACACGTTCAGTCTCCTGGGGTCAGACCTGAGACAGATGAGAAAGGACTCCTTGGAAAAGAGGGTGTTGGAGGTAGACTTCTGAGGAATGGAGAGGGGACGGCTGAGGACGGCTAGAGGGGGCTGCCTGAGGGGAGGGGAGTTGGTGAGGATCACACCACGTTGGACCCTTTTTTTTTTTTTTTTTTAATGTGATACAGAGTCTCACTATGCAGTTTTGACTATTCTGGAACCATGTAGTCCAGGCTGGCCTCAAACTCACAGAGATCCCCCTGCCTCTGCCTCCTGAGTGCTGAGATTAAAGGTATATGCCACTGCCACCCAGCTAAGAAATTATTTTTATTTAAAAAATTAATTAAGACCAGGCAGTGGTGCCTTTAATCTCAGCACTCAGGAAGCAGAGGCAGGTGGCCAGTTCGAGGCCAGCCTGGTCTACAGAGCAAGTCTGGGGTCAGGAGACCCGTTTTCTGGGAAGGGATCTGTGCCTGGTTGGGCTTGTTCTAGGTGCTGGGACAAGCCTGGTAAGAGGGAAAGGTGACCAAGCCACACATTAAATGTGCTGGAGGCCGGACAGGAGCTGGGGAGAGGTACTGAACCCCCAGAAAGAGACAGTTTTGCTCTGGCCCAGCGGTTGGGTTAGACATAACTAAACTGAGAGAGCGTGCCTGGAAGCCACTGCTCACATGTTACCTCAGTGCTCAGTGAGCTGACCTGGCCCCTGCTTGGTTTCTCCTGTGGACAGGAGGCTCATTCCTTCACTGTTCCTCAGCCACAAGGACAGGAGCCACACTCAGTCAAGTAAGGACATCTGAGATCCTTCGAAGAGAGTCCTTAGGGTTCCCTACAGCCTGTCACTCAGGGGACAGAAGGCTGTGGGTGCTGCCTGGGTTCTCCATCCCCTCACCTTGCCTCAGTCCATTGTCCAAGTGAGAAAGAAAACCCTGCCACATGGAGGAAGCCACACCCCTGGGCTTGCTCCAGGCTAGCCCTGTTCTAGCCCCAGCTAAGAGGCCAATACCAGGTTCAGGTGAGGAACCCTTGTTTGTTTTTGAGACAGGGTCTCTTTGAAGACCTGGAACTTGCTGTGTAGACCTTGCTGGCCTTGAACAAACAGAGATCCACCTGCCTCTGCTTCCTGATTGTCCGTCTCTGTTTTTGAGAAGTGTCTTACGTAGCCCAGGCTGCCTTTGAACTCACATTGTAGCTGAGGACGATCTTGATCTCCTCCCATCTCCACCTTCCTCCTGGGAAGACAGACACCTACCATGCCTGGTTTCGGGAGAACTCTCAACTCTCAAATTCTTTCTTGTGCCCACACATAGTACAAAGCCTGCCTGGGCCCTCAGCCACTGCACCCAACCCCCTCTGCCGAATAACCACATGTCTCGGTTCTGCAACCAGCCAGCCAGTGCCTGACAGACCAGCAGGGACTTCCAGCCTGTTGCCCCAAACTCAGATACTTAAAAAAAAAAAAAAAAAAAAAAAAAGGTCGTTGGTAATAAGGAAAAAGTCACTCTGAACACAGCAGACGGTATTTTCTTTGTTCCCAGTGTTCACACGTTCTGTGGCTCCGGGCCTGAGAAAGAAGAAGCCAAATCCTTCGCCTGTACATACGCCTCTCGATGTGAGAGCAGTCGGAGGGGCCTGTTTCCTCCAGCTGGGAATGAGTTGTGTCAAGGAGTCTGGGGGCTCAGGGAGGGGTCACCACCACTGCCTGTGACTCAGAAATAAATGGAAATATATCCACATGTACTAAATATATCCAGAGCATCAGTGGCCAGCGGGCCAGGGAGAGGCTAGGAGCCCCATACGCTCCCAGTTTGGGCTGTTGAGGCTTTGGGGAGGGCAAGGAATGACAGAGACCCCTGGAGAGGGCATTCCTGGGAGGACAGAGAAGGAGACTCACCTCCTGGCCAGAGAATGTCCCCCCTGAGAGTTAGCAGCTTGCTCAGATGCCCATACCAGGGAGCAGACACAGAGGCCTTGAGACGAGGAAGAATGTCTGACATAGGAATTTCAAAGCCAAGAGCTCCAGGGAATCACAAGCTGTCCACTTGTCCCCAGAGCACTGAAGCCCTTGCAGAACTTTCTAGAAAAGGGCAGAAGGGGATTTGCAAGGGGGACCTTCACAGGGCTGGGGACCTACAGGCAGATAGGGTTCCCTAAAGGACCCTTGGCTGGCTGCTGTGGGCAGACAGGCTCCCAGGGCCAAGTGGCAGGTCAGCCTACAGAGCTGCAGGGGGCTGGCCCATTCCACGGGAAGAGGACATTAATGTCCCCAACACTTGGGTCCTGAGACCCTAAAACGATTAAAAACCCAGTTACTCCCAGCAATTTTTTTTTTCAATCAAGGTCTCACTATGCAGCCCTGGATGGCCTAGAATTCACTGTGTAGTCCAGGTGAGCCTAGAATTCAGAGATCTGCCTGCCTGTTCCGCTCAAATGCTGGGATTAAAGGTGTGCACCACTCTGACCAACCGATGGTGCTGGGATGGAGGCCAGGGCTCCATGGAAGCTTGGCAAGGGGGCTACTCCCTGAGTGGCAGCCCCACCCCCTCCTGCATTTGGGGGGCTGGGTGCAAGTTGTTTTCCTGCCTCAGTTGCTAAGGGTCCGGGAAATTTTTATCTTTCCGTTTTGAGGGACAAGGTCTCAGTGTGTGACGCAGCCTGGTCTCAGTAAGGCAGTCCTGCCCCAGGCCCCGGGTGCTGGAATGTCACAATGAGACATCCAGCTAGGCCTGGACCCTGCTTCCAGACTCTGGCAATTGAGCCCCTACTGTATGCAGCCCACGAGCATCCACATGCTCTCCTCCTCAGCCTCACCGCCCAGCCCCACAGCGGCAGTGGCCAGACTCCAGTCAGCCAGGAAGCCACCTGAAGGCTCAGGGCCACCCTTGGCACGAGGCAGGAAGGCGAGGGGTCATTGTCCACCCGTTTTCCGTCTCTCTGGCTCATCCAGGATGTCTGCTTCTGTCCACACACCCTAGCCCACTACACCAACACCCACCCTGTCCTCTCAGCCCATCACCCTGGGCTCGGCCCCACGGCCCTTGCAGACAGCCTCTCCCGCGCCCTTCCTCCTCCACCCCTTTTCCCACCCCTGCTACCTTCTGCCTCTTCCCTGGTATCCCAGAAGCTCCGCCTTATCTTCGGCCCCTGCCTCTAATCCCTTCTGTTCCAACCCCCTGACTCCATGGGTCCCTCCCCTTCTTCCAAAGGCCCAGCCCTCCCTATGACTTCTGCTCCCTCCCACAGGGCTCCCCCGCTTCGGTCCCCCCTCCTGGACCTTGACTTTCCGGCCCCTCCCTCTCTCCCCTACCCGCCTCAGCCCTCCTTGTCAGTCCCCTCCCTCACTTTGCCTTGCCTTCCCGACTCCCTCCCAACCCCACCCTCCCTCCCTTGACCATCTCACCCGCCTCCTTCTTCCTTCTGTTTCCTCCCTCTGCCCCCCCAGGAGTCCCTCCTCCTGACCTCCTGGTGCCCTCCCCTTCCTCTGCCCCTTCACCCCGCCCCATTCCCCTCTTTCCCCTCTGCTCTGTTCCCCAGCTGTTCTTGTCCCCGCCCCCAGCCCCTCGGCAGACTCCCGCTGGAGCTCCCCTCCCCCCAAGTCCGCCCTCCCCTTCTTCCTTCTCCGGGTCGCCTCCCCCCTCCCCGCCCTCACTCGCTAGCCGGCAGGGGGCGCTGGGCAGAGGCGGGGCGGCGCGGGGACTGGCCGCGATGGGACCGGAGGCGGCGCAGACAAAGGCGCGGGCGGCGCGGGGCGCGCGGAGGGCGCGGGCCGAAGGCAGCGGCGGCGGCGGCGGCGACGCGGGGTGAGCCGGGCGGGGGGACCCCAGCTCCCGAGACGCGATCGGAGCGCGGGGGGCTTAGGGGGCACGGGGGGCGCAGACGGTTCCCAAAGTTGCAGACTGTGCGGCCGGGGCGGGGTGCTGTGGGTTGCAGGCTGAGGGGCTGGGGTCCTGGGGTGAGGGCTGGGGTCCTGGGGCGCGAAGCGCAGCTGCACTGGGTCCCCCAGCCCCGGGTCCGGGTGTTGGAGGCGCCGGATCGCGAGGCTCCGCTGCTTGGAAAGTTGCTGATCGGCGGCTCCCGGAGTTGGGGCGCACGGGCTGTCCCGGCGCGGGTGGGGACCGGTCCCAAGTGGGATTCGGGTGCGAGGCTTCTGGAAGGAGCCCCGCCGCGCAATCGTGATCCCCTGCCCTGCGCCGCCGCTCCGAGGCGCGTGACTACTTGGTGAGTAACTTTTCCCGATCTCAGCAAGTCCGGGCAGGAGAGGCCGGACCGGAAGGGCCTGGGTTCGGGGACTCCTTTTCCCCAATCTCCGCCAGTCCTAATCGCGTCCCCGACTCGAGTCGAGTCGCTCCTCCCCGGCGTGGGGGCTCCGGTTTCAGACCCGATGACTGCGACAGCAGCTGCCCAGGACAGCATGGGGGGGCTGACCTCAGGAGCCTGGTCCTGTTCTCCCGCATCCGCAGTACCCTCCTCCAGTCCCTTCGGATGCAGATGTGGGGATTCAGGAGGGTACCCAAAACTCCCGGGTGATGGGTACAGACACCCACAGGAGGCTGGGCAGCCCCCTTCTCCAAGTCTTGTTCCCTGCTCACGTGGTGGGAACTGGGATGAGCCGCTTGTCAACTGTGGGGGTGCGCGTGCATTGCGTGTGTGTGTGTGTGTGTGTGTGTGTGTGTGTGTGTGTGTGCGCGCGCGCGCGCGCGCGCGCGTGCGTGTTAAGGTCCCAGGTTAGCCTCAGAGTCTCAACAATCTTGCCTCATCCTCCCCAGTGCTGGAATGACAGACATGTGCCACCATGCCAAACTTTTGTTTTGTCCTTTTTATATATATATATAAAAAAAAGTTTATTTAACGTATATGAGTGACCTGTCTTCAGGGACACCAGAAGAGGGAATCAGATCCCATTATAGATGGTTGTGAGCATGTGGTTGCTGGGAATTGAACTCAGGACCTCTGGAAGAGCAGCCAGTGCTCTTAACCACTGAGCCATCTCTCCAGCCCCTTGTTTTGTCCTTTTAAATAGGCTAGGGCTCCCTGGAGACTCGACTTGGACTCCAAGGTGTAGCCTTGCCTTCGAGGTGTGTGCTAAGCAGTCCTTTTGTGGAAGCAGAGAGGTCCTGAGTTCTCTGCCCTCAGGTGTGTGCTAAGTGGTCCTTTTGTGGGAGCAGAGAGGTCCTGAGTTCCCTGCCCTCGGGGTGTGTGCTAAGTGGTCCTTTTGTGGGAGCCGAGTCCTGAGTTCCCTATTAGGCCCCGGAAGCATTCCACTTTTGTTCTCTGACATGGGGATCTGGCGAAGATATCCCAGGTGGCCTTGAACTCCTTGGCCTTCTGAGTAGATGGGACCGCTGGTTCTCACCACTGATCCAGCTTTGTCCCACTTTTTGTTGCAAGGCCTTCTGCGGGGCTGCTGGATGGGAGGGGGTGGATAAGATGTCCCACTCACTTGATCTTGGCCTCATGCCCAGTTCCTGTGGGAAGACACTTTCCCCATGGCTGGTAACCTGGAGTGTGAGTGTGACTTTGGCATGCCAAGGACCACTTGGCTGTTCTTGGGCAATGTGGTAGTGCTCTGTCACCTCTCTGATGGCACTAGAGCCCTAGAGACCCCTCAGCCCGGGTGTGGGGGCTTCTCCTCAAACGGAGACAAGCAGGGTCTGTGGGCTGGGGTACAGCTCCATTGGTGGAGGGCTCACCTGGCACACAGGAAGCTCTGAGCTCCACCCCCAGCACCATGTGAACTGAGCATGATGGTGCATGCCTGTCACCCCAGCACTTGGGAAGCAGAGGCCAGAGGATCAGGACTTCAAGTTCATTCTTGGCTACATAGTGATTTCAAGGCCAGCCTGGGCCGAGACTGGTGTGGCTGTAGGACATGCTACTGTCCCTTTCCTTCCTTGCTGCTCTTGTGGAGGAAGTCGCCTGGATGACCCGCTTCAGCACCCCCGGATCCTTGCTCTCAAGCCCTTTCTCTCCCCAGAGACCAAACGAGTGGTTCCTGTCACCTCTCTGGGTACCCCTTAGACTCCATCCCGCCCAGCCTGACCAATGTCCACAGCCAGGTGAGCGCCCACCCACTCTGGTCGGGTCTAGCCCTCTGGGTGGCCAGCCTCCTGAAGAGAACAGCCCCCCTGTTCTGTGCCCCTGCAGGGAACAGCCAATCTTCAGCACCCGTGCACACGTGTTCCAGATCGACCCCACTACCAAGAGGAACTGGATCCCAGCCGGCAAGCACGCACTTACTGTGTCCTATTTCTACGATGCCACCCGAAATGTGTACCGCATCATCAGCATCGGGGGTGCCAAGGTCTGGGCGGGGACCTGGGGGCAGGTGTTGGCACCAGGATGTGAAGCCACAGGCCATGCTGGGTGACTTGTGAAATGGGGATCAGTGAGTCTCTCTGGGACCTAGCTTCTTCCAGAAATAGCTCAGGCTGGGATCTCAGAGAGGGGCTAATCTGTTCAGACCTTCATCATTATTGTCAAGATAGGGGTACTAGACCTCAGTGGGCCAAGAATGCTATACTAGCCTCTCACTGGGATATCCTAGGCAGGGGCTCCACTCATAAGCCATGCCTCAGGGGGATTCTGGGTAGGGATCTACTACTGAGACAGGTGCCTAGAATTATTTTTTTAATCCACTATGTAGTCTAAGGCTGGACCTAAACTTTGATACTCCTCCTCAGGCTGCGGGCTGGCGGGCTGGCGGGCTGGCGGGCTGGCGGGCTGGCGGGATGATCACTGTCATTCCTGCAGATCTTAAATCTTGCTCTCCCCACCCCCAGGCTATCATCAACAGCACAGTCACCCCCAACATGACCTTCACCAAAACCTCTCAGAAGTTCGGGCAGTGGGCAGACAGTCGAGCCAACACTGTGTATGGCCTAGGCTTTGCCTCTGAACAGCAGCTGACCCAGGTGGGCAGGGGCACGGGCAGTGATTGGCATCTGCGGTCCTTGGGGTGGGTTCACAGACAGTAAGACCCCTTGAGTGCCCTGGGTAGTGTGGTCCTTTGCCACCTTACTCCAACTTTGCACACTCCTTGTGCCTCTTAAGGGCATCGAATGGAAGCCTGGACTGGGCACACCCCTGCCCAGCAGCGCCTCTCTCCAGTTCTGCCATGGGTCCATTCTTTTTTCCAGACTTATTTTTGTTTATGTGTCTGTGTGTATTTGTGTGTGCTGGTGCCTGCAAGAGGTAAGGAGATGGCATTAGATTCCCTGGAGCTGGAGTTACAGGAAGTTGTTGAGGTGTCCGATACAGCTGATGGGAACTGAACTGTCTTTTGGAAGCACTCTTAATTGCTGAGCCATCTTTAACCCCCTCAATTTTGTTTTATTTTGTTTGGTTTGGTTTGGTTTTTGTTTTTTGGTTTTCTGAGACAGGGTTTCTCTGTGTAGTTTTGGTGCCTGTCCTGGATCTCAATCTATAGACCAGGCTGGCCTCAAACTCACAGAGATCCGTCTGCCTCTGCCTCCTGAGTGCTGGGATTAAAGGCGTGCGCCACCACCACCCTGGCCCTGCCTCAATTTTTTTAAGAAAAAAAAAATTATTACTTTTTTTTAAGATTTATTTATTTATTTTGTATACAGTGTTCTGCCAGCATGTATGCCTACAGGCCAGAAGAGGGCACCAGATCTCACTACAGATGGTTGTGAGCCACCATGTGGTTGCTGGGAATTGAACTCAGGACCTCTGGAAGAGCAGCCAGTGCTCTTAACTGTTGAGCCATGTCTCCAGCCCAAATTGTTACTTTTTTATTTGCTTTGGGTGTGAATGTGTGGGCACACCTACAGAGGGCAGATAAAAACATCAGGAATCAGTTCCCTTCACCCACCGTGTGGGTTCTGGAACGATCTGCAGGCTTGGCAGCAAGCACCTTTGTGGTCACTGAACCATATTGATTTTTTTGTTTATGTTTTGGTTTTTTTGGTTTTGGGTTTTTTTGAGACGCAACAGCCCTGGCTGTCCTGGAACTCACTCTGTAGACCAGGCTGATCTTGAACTGATGGAGATCTGCTGCCTCTGCCTCCTGAGTGCTGGGGCTAAAGATGAGTACCACCACCACCTGGCCCATGAGCCATACTGCAACCTCGAATTTTGTTTTGTTTTGTTGTTTGTTTTTTGAGTCAGGGTTACCTCCATGTATCCCTGCCTGTCCTGGAACTCGCTCTGTAGACCAGGCTGGCCTTGAACTCAGAGATCCACCTGTCTCTGCCTCCCAAGCTCCGAGATTAAAGGTGTGTGCCACCATAACTAAACTTTTTTGAGTTTTATGGCAAGGTCTCACTCTGTAGCCCAAGCTGTCCTTAAACTCTCAGCCATCTTTCTGCCTCTAGAGTGCTGGGATCTCGGGTGTGTACCACCACACCGGCCTTGTTTGTTTAGCGGCTCTCTGTCTCCAGCAATCCTTCCTCAGCCTTCTTAGTGGTGAGGATTAGTCCTGGGGCCTGGTTTAAAAACACTGGCTGCTCTTGCAGAGGACCCAGGTTCAGTTTGCAGCAGCCACATGGCAGCTCGTGACCATCTGTAACTCCAGTTCCGGAGAATTTGATAGTTGGCCTTCGGGGCACCAGGCACACATGTGGTGCCCAGATGTACATGCAGGAAAAACACTGATACACGTAAAATAAAATAAATATGTCTTTAAAAAATTATTTTCTTCCTTTATTTTTATTTTTTGTGGGTATTAGGGTCTCACTATATGTATGTAACCCTGGCTGGTCTGGAACTTGCTATGTAGACAAAGCTGGTCTCAAACTCACATTATAGCTAAGGCTAACCTTGAACTCCTAATCTGCCTGCCAGCACCTCTCACATGCTTAGACAACAGGAATGCACCACAGAGTGCAGTTTAAACATTATTAGGGGGTGGGAGATGTCTCGGTGGTTAGGAGCATTAGCTGCTCTTGCTCAGCACCCATATGGCAGCTCACAACCTTCTGTAACTCCATGGAGGGTAACTTGAGGCCTCTAGTTTGGGGGGGGGGGGGGCACTTACACATATGTACATATAATTAAAAGTAATAAAAATAAATTAAAAACAAAGTTTTCTTTTAAAGGTTTTTTATTACATTTATTATTTCTGTGTTGTGTGACTGTGTGTGCATGTGTGCTGTGGAAATCAAAGGACAGCCTGTGGGAGTCAGTTCCCTCCTGTGCATGTCCCTCAGACCAAACTTAGGTCATCAGGCTTGACACAAACTTAGGGAGCCAGATCACTAGCCTCACATTTTTTATAATTACCGGGCGGTGGTGGCGCACGCCTTTAATCCCAGCACTCAGGAGGCAGAGCCAGGCGGATCTCTGTGAGTTCAAAGCCAGCCTGCTCTGCAGAGCGAGATCCAGGACAGACACCAGAACTACACAGAGAAACTCTGTCTTGAAAGAAACCAAACTTTTTATAATTAATTAATTAATTATCTTTTCTTTTTGAGACAGGGTTTCTCTGTGTAGCCCTGGCTGTCCTGGAACTTGCTCTGTAGACCAGGTTGACCTCGAACTCACAGAGATCCACCTGCCTCCCGAGTGTTGGGATTAAAGGCGTGCGCCACCACAGCCTGGCTTTTTCTTTTTTAAGAAATGTATGTGTAGTTGTGTTTATGCATGTGTGTGGATGCCCCCAAGAGGCCAGCAGCGGGCACTGCATCCCCTGGAGTCACAGCAGTTGTGAGTTCGTTGCCTGAGGTAGTGTGTGACCTGTCACGGTTTCCCTGTGACAGGAGCCTTCCCTCCTAGACACTGAGTCATTGCTCAGGTCTGCACAGATTAGTTCTGATAAATGAAAATTAATTTAATTTAATTTTATGTGCATTGGTATTTTATTTGCATTCATGTCTGTGTGAGGGTGTCAGATCCCCTGGAACGGGGGTCACAGACAGTTGGAGCTGCCATGTGGTTGCTGGGAATTGAACCCGGGTCCTCTGGAAGACCAGCCTGTCTTCTTAACCATTGAGCCATCTCTCCAGCCCCTGTGGAAAGTATTTTAAAGTGAAAAGAAAATGCATTATCATAGCCCCAGAAGCAGCGTTAGTTGTCAGGTGACCCACTTAGGAGGAGGAGTGACAGGAGGCCCACTCTCACTGTGGATGCCCTTCCCTGTGCTGTCGATACTGGCAAGTGTGAAGGACAGATGGGCGCCAGCCTCAGGCTGTCCATCTAAGCCATCCTGACAGGAACAGGGAGTCCCTTTCCATGTGGCTCACAACCTTAATGTCACCTCTGTGGTACACCACACCCCCTCCATGTGTGGTCACAGGGTTAACCTTTTACAACCTCCCCCGAAGGCTCCAGGGTGACAGGACAGGTGATGAGGGAAATGCTTTCTGACTGTCCCCCTGCCTCACCCCCAGTTTGCTGAGAAGTTTCAGGAGGTGAAGGAAGCTGCCAGGCTGGCTCGGGAGAAATCTCAAGATGGTGGAGAATTCACTAGTCCTGCCCTGGCCCTGGCCTCCCACCAGGTAGGACTGCACTCCATGTCTACTGGGCCCCATGCCTACCACACTCCCGAGGCAGCTGTAATATGCTTCTCATGTCAGGGGTCATGGCATTGTGCTGGGGTCTAAGGCTAGCTGATGGCTTTACTACATTTATGCATGTGTGTGCACACACATGTGCATGTGCCTGGATGCACATGTGGAGGTCCAAGGACAATTTGTGGGAGTCAGTGGTGTCCTTTCAGCAGGGCATCAGGCTTGGTGACCACCTCCTTTACTGAGCCATCTCCACAGCCCATGCCTCAGTTTTAAGTGTGATGCTTGATGCCTTTGTACCCAGGGGAAAACTGTTAGTAGAGAACAGTTGAAAGTGTTCAGATCCCTGTTTGAGGGGTTAGTGAAGACTGGGGGGGGGGGGGTCCCCATCCAGGAGCCTGGGGAGCTATGGAGGGTGAGGAGGAGAGCCACACTGGGCTTCATGGGTCAGTTCGAACTCCCTGATCTTAATCAACACCCCAGTGACCCCAGTCCTGGACTCAATCAACCTTAGCTCCTACTGCGACCTTGACTGAGGCAAGCGCTCACCGTGACCCAGTCCCGCCTCCTATACACAGGTTCCCCCGAGCCCCTTGGTCAGCACCAACGGTCCGGGAGAGGAAAAGCTGTTCCGCAGCCAGAGTGCAGATGCCCCTGGCCCCACCGAGCGGGAGCGGCTGAAGAAGATGCTGTCAGAAGGGTGAGGGGTGGGGCTTTCAGGACAGGTGTGATGGGCAGAACCTGCTTGAAGCCATGATGGGCGTGGCTGGGGCCTAAGGGGTGTATTGGAACTACGACTGAGCTTTAGGGTGGCAGGCGTGATATTGCTGGGGGCAGTGCCTTGACTGGCACTAACGGGCACGGCTGGCACCAGGGGTGTGCCAGGGAATCCCCAGGACAGACCTTTAGGATGCAAGGGACTTGGTGTTGCTGGGGTCAGGGTCCTGACTGGGATTAAGGGGCATGGGTTTTGGAAGTAGGCTCTTGCTGTGTATCCCAGTCTGGCCTGGAACTCATTATGTAGCCTAGACTGACATCGATCTTAAGGGGATCCTCCTGTCTCAGTTCATGAGCTACAACTCCCTACTCCACATACCATGGTCTCCACTCCCCAGCTTAGTTCTGCTTTGGCCCTGCTCCTAGCCCAGGAGGTCCTTCACCAAATGCCACCCGCTCTTACCACGCACACCCCTAGCCTGGTGTCTTCCCCGCAGCTCCGTGGGTGAGGTCCAGTGGGAGGCCGAGTTCTTCGCACTCCAGGACAGCAACCAGAGGCTGGCAGGGGCCCTTCGCGAGGCCAACGCAGCCGCCGCGCAATGGAGGCAGCAGCTGGAGGCCCAGCGTGCAGAGGCTGAGCGCCTGCGGCAGCGGGTGAGGACCCCCACATCCCTTCTGCCCCGTGTCAGTCTCCAGAGAATTGTTTCTCACTGTAAAAAGACTTGAGACCATAAGAGCCTCACAGGGGTCATCAGGCCCTCCATGTCCCAGAAGGACCGCTGAGCTGTGTGTGTGCAGGTGGCGGAGCTGGAGGCCCAGGCGGCTGCAGAGCCGGTCCCGACGGGCGAGAAGGAGGCAACCAGCCAGTCCGTGGAGCAACTGGAGGCTCAGGTGCAGACCAAGGACCAGGTGAGCCAGGGGCAGGCTCCAGGGTCTTGCCCTTGTCTTCCTGGGACTCCAGGCCCTCTGAGCAGACCCAGGGCCCTTTCTCTCTAGGAGATCCAGACTTTGAAGAATCAGAGCTTGGGGACACGTGAAGCTCCTGACACCACTGAGCGGGAGGAGACACAGCAGAAGGTTCAGGTTGGCTGTGGGATGTGGCATGTGACCGTGGCCCCTGAGGTAGAATGGGTTCCGTCTGCCTGTGAGCAGGATGGTAATGCCTACCCAAAGTTATGAAGCCTTAGCACATATTAGCCTCATACCTAGTCCTCCCACACCTGAGCAGTCTGTGACCCAAGGGAGCTCTCAGAGACCTCACCCAAGAAAGTACCTGGAGTGAGTGTCCCCAAGATTCCTGGGGAGAAAGTTGGGGAGATGACTGCTGTCCTTGGGGATGGGTGGAGCTTGTGTAAAGGTCTAGAGGTCAGGACCCCAGAATTGGTGTACTGCCTGGGGGACAGTGAGAGGATCTGCAGGAAGATGGTGTGCGCGTGTGCACACACAGGTGCTCCCATGTGGATGCGGGCTCACGGACATGAGGCAGCCAGAGGCGGGGGCCCGTCTGCCGCTTCGTCTCGCCTCATCCTTTGAGACAATCTGTCACTGAGGGTGACGCTCAGATCATCTAGGCTGGGTGCTGAGGCAGAGCAGCAGGGATTTGCTCCCCTACCCTCGGGGTTACAGCAGCTAGCAAGCAGTACGTGGGGCACCGGATTTTACATGGGTGGAGGGACCGAAATTCAGGCCCCTCAGGTTAGAGCCAGGTACTTTACAATCTCTTTAGCTGTAGACTACTCACCTGGTTAAAAATGTTCCTATGTCTTTGATATTTTTCCTGAGTTTGCAACTGGAGGAGTCAGTTCCCTCCTTCCACCATGTGCACACTGGTGATTAAACTTTCATCTGGGTATTTTTGTTTTTGATGCTGTGTCTTTAGCTGCAGTTGGTCAGTAACTCACAGAGATCCACCTGCCTCTACCTCCCAGTGCTGGGATCACAGGTGTGTGCCACTACACTTGGCCCAGGTTTTAACATTTAATTGTGTGTATGTGTGTGGGTTAGTTACACTTGTGCAGATTCCCTCCAAGGTGTTGGATCCCCAAGGAGTCACATATGGTTGAGTCGCCCCATGTGGGTGCTTGGAAGCGAATCCAGGAAGTTCATACTCTTAAGCACTGAATCATGTCCCCAGCCTTTCATCTTGCTCTTAGAAACAGCCTGGGAAAGGCTTAGGTCGGCCAGTGTGCTCCAGGGAATCCTGTCTCCCAAGCACTGGAATGCTTAGCTTATGTGGCTGTTGGGCTCTGAACTCACATCGGGCACCTCAGACTTTAAGACTTTACTGTTACAGTCTTACTGTGTCCCAGCCTGTGGGAGCCATGGACCACACCCAGCAGGAAGGGCAACCAGAAGCGTCATAGTTTGCCCCACCCCACGCTCCTTTCTCCCCCTGTAGGATCTGGAAACACGGAATGCCGAACTGGAGCAGCAGCTGCGGGCAATGGAGTGCAGCCTGGAGGAGGCGCGGGCGGAACGCGAGCGCGCGCGGGCAGAGGTGGGCCGGGCCGCACAACTGCTGGACGTGCGGCTGTTCGAGCTGAGTGAGCTGCGCGAGGGCCTGGCGCGCCTGGCAGAGGCGGCGCCCTAGTTGGCCCCGTGGGTCTGTGACCCCAAGGTGCCCTGGCCGGGGACCAGGGCTGCCCCTGAGCTTTGCACTGTGTAGAGTTTCCTAGAATCCATGGGTGGCGCTGATACCCGGATTACATTTCTACGTGGCTGTACAAGTGCGTGGCGTTGCTGGCACCTGCTGTCGCTGGCTGCTGCCACCCTGCGTCCCAGGGATGCGAAGGAGGGCCTCAGTGGTCATCCCCATGGGGCAGCAGAGGCTTTGGGGACCAGAGACCCGCAGCCCTGCACCCATCCCGCCTCATTCTCAAGTCAGACTGACAGGTTCAGAGTGTTTACTGAGGTCCTCTGAGGCCCACCCCTCGGCCGGCGCTCCCTGCTTTCTGTCGCCGCCGAAGCGTCTGCCCCACCTTCTCCTTGAAACGGCGGTTCTGTTGCTTGATCTTGGCCAGCTCCGCCTTGCGCTTAGCCTCCAGGTCCGGGTCCTGAGGAAGGGAGCGTGGCTGAGAAAGGAGCAGGGTAGCTTCCCAGGAAGCAGCTCCTGTCCCCAAGCCCAGCCCACCCTTACTGGCCACACCCCCATGCCTGGCCCTGCCCACCGAGCCCTCCCCACCCCTAGGTCCACCTTCCCCTCCAGAATCAGCTGCTTCCGCTTGTTGATCTCCTTCTTTTCATCAAAATGCGAGGCCTCCAGTTTCTAACAGGAGAGAGCACAGGTCAGGACAGGCCTGCAGGGAGCCCCGCCCCACACCCCCCTACACCCGAGGCCACACTCACGATCTCGCACTCTCTGCGCACCACGTTGACCTGCGTGAGGATGTTCAGGACCTCGGCCTCCTCCACCGCCAGCTCCTCCAGCTGCTTCTCTGCGGAGCGGGGTGGGAGAACCAGACAGCAGCATAAGTGGGGCTGTAGGTGCCATTGGCCCTCCCTCTGCGCCCCCACTTCTGATGTCTGCGTCCAACCATATGTGGACTGATGACATTCAAAAGAAGCAAAATTGTGCCTGTTATCACAACACTGGGAAGGCAGAGGCAGGGGGATCACTGTGAGTTCCAGGCCAGCTCTGTAGAGCAAGGATCTCTGTCAAATAAATGAATGAATAAAGGACGGAGTGAATGAGGTGAGATCCAGGCGCCCGTGATCCCAGGACTTTTGGGCCACTGTGGCTAAACGGAGAAAGCTCAGGAAAGCGTGCTGCAGGGTCCAGATAGTGTGTCTCAGGGGCTCTCGTCCTGGCCCACCTCCTACCACAGATGCACCTCCGGGGTTGGTGGCCCTGTGCACAGCAGGCTTTTTTGTAGTGCGGGCTGGGCACCAGGAACACAGCACTCTGCAGGTCTAGGATGGCCCAGGCGGGCCAAGCGAGCTCCCAGCCTTGGGCAGGTTCCACCCATAGACCCTCCCACTTACTGATCTGCTCCTCGATGGCATGCAGCAGGTGGATGTCATACTGCGTCACCAGTGTGATGGCCCGTCCCTGCCGCCCTGTGGGGACACAACCAAGTGGCTCGTCTCAGCTGGTCAGCTCAGAGGACCAGGCTCTACCCAGGGCAGGGCCTGGATATGGGAGCTGGAGGATGGTGGGCAGCTCTGCTAAGCCGGCCTTCTGTGAGGGCTGGCAGCATGCTGCTTCCCCTCTAGCTGGGCCGCCAGGAAGCCAGGGCTCAGCCCTGCTCTGCTGTCCTTTCTCCAGTCAGTGAGCAAGCTGATGCACGATGGGCTGACGGGGCCAAGACCCACGGCAGCCGCAGACAGGCTCCTCGGTGCTTATTATTTGTTAAGGCGGGGCCCCTCAGAATTCCCTAAAGCCACAGGATCAGACTGCCAGCCCCGTCCAGCCCAGCAACCCTGTCTCTCCTGCTTATAGGCATGAGGGAGTATCAAAGCAGATGTCCCCCTGGTTCCTGGGTCAGCATGCCAGTGAGGTGCCAGGCTGGGGATGGATGCCAGGCCGAGAGTGCACTGGGTGTCTCCCCGAGTCTTTGATTCTGAAGACCTGAGATCCCCAGTGTCTCTCCCTGCAGCTGGAACCTCCTATACCTGGCTCGGCTCACCTGCACGAGCTGTTCGGCCAACTCGGTGGATGTAGATCTTGGGGAGCCCAGGGGTGTTGTGGTTGATGACCACCTGCACAGTGGGGATGTCCAGGCCCCTGGAGGAACAGAGCACTCAGCTGGGGAGTCCATGTTGGGAGACCAAAGCTGACACTCAGCCATCCGCATGCCTGAGTCCAGCTTCCTGGTCTCATGGTGGCTCAGGCCACCGGAGGAAAAGCATGCTGCACTGGGCCGACTCACCTCGAGGCCACATCAGTGGCAATAAGAATCCGGTAGACGCTGGACTTGAACTTGGCCAGGGCTGCGAAGCGCTCTTTCTGTACCACAGGTGGAGGAGGGTTAGTGAGCCGACCCAGGGGCTGGGATGGGGCAGAGACCAGGGAGGAGGCAGTCGCAGAACCAGAAGGCTCTCTGAGAGTTTGAGACCAGTAAGAGTTCCAAGACAGGACTACATAGAGAGACTTTGTCTCAAAATACCAAAAAAAAAGTCCCCATTAGCCTAGGCTGGCTTTGACCTCCAGAACTTCCTGCCCCACCTCCCGAGTGCTGTGTCAAGGGGTGTGTGTGTGTGTGTGTGTGTGTGTGTGTGTGTGTGTGTGTGTACACACACACAGAACAGGCATATAAACTATGCATCCAGGTATATATAGAGAGAGATATAGATATAGGACAGGCATATAAACTATGCGTCCAGTAGACATATACGGAACAGGCATCCAAACTCTACCCAGTTTATATGGCTGAGGATGGAACCCAGGGCCCCATACATGCTGGGCAAGCACTCTACCAAGTGCGCCCCGTCCCCAGGCTGAGCGGTGGCATGTGAGACTGGAGACTGTGGCCACGACCCATCACCTGCTTCATCATGGAGTGCAGCGACACTGTGGGGAAATTGAACTTCCGAAGCATCATGCAAAGGATTTGGCAGGTCCTGGTGGGAAAAGGGTGGTTGTAGGTGTCCTGTCCAACCCACCAGGATGTCACACAAGGGACCTAGGAGTCGTAGAAAGGCTAGGTCTGATGCTGCTGTGCTTCTCAAAGCCTGAACCAACAAGGACCGGCCCTGACCTGGTACTGACTTCCAGAATAGTCTCTCAAGTCCTGGGTGCTGCTGTGCCTGACGGCTATGCCACTCCACAGCCAACACTTCCTCCTCTGCGGACAGACACCCACCCTCCTGTCTCTGCCCTCTAATTGACACAGCCAACAGCTATTTTGAGACTCTGGTTTGGTTTGAGTCAGGGTCTCACTATGTAGCTCTGGCTGGCCTGGAACTTGCTATATAGACCAGGCTAGCCTCAAATTCACAGATCTGCCTGCCTCCTGGGTGCACCAGCAGGCCAGGCCTAGCAGCTCACCTTCCCATGAGGGAAGCTGGCCCGTGCTTCTGGCACAGGTGGCAGAAGCCTCTCACTCACTTGCAGGTGTTGGTGAAGATGATAATGGAGCAGTCCTCCAGCTGGTCTTGGAAGGTCTGGACCAAGTGCACCAGGTAGGCATCCTTCACCTTCTCCGGCACCAGCAGGTAGTGCTGGTCAAGCTGCTCCACTGTGCGCACCCTGGCGGTGGAAGGGCAGAGCAGCACACCTCAGTTTCTCATTCTGCCTGAACCCTCTGGTCTGACCCTCACCCATAGCTTTGGAACTCACGGGGCCTGCGCCTCCCAGAAGAAGGGCTGGTTGGTGGCCAGGCCCTGCAGCTCCTTGAGTGTGTCGGTCAGTGTGGCACTGAACAGCAGCGTTTGCCTGCGTGCTGGAACGGAGGCCAGGATTGTCTCCAGGTCTGTGGTGAAGTCGGTGCAACCCTGCTCCAGTAGCCGGTCCGCCTCGTCCATCACCTGCATCAGAGGGGTGGGACAGGGGGCTGGGCCAGTGCAAGAGCAGAAAACACCGCGCAGGACCTGCCCCAAGCTCAGCACACCTGCTTTTCAGGGACTATGCAATGGGCTCCTCAACACTGTCCCCAGCCTCAGGCCATGTCACCCACTCTGCAGGCCCTCTAGGGAGCCCCCCTTCTATATGCTGTGTCTCTACTGGGCTTTTTGTTTGTATGAGGCAGGGTCTCGCTGTGTACTCCTGACTGTCCCAGAACTCACAATGTAGACCAGGCTAGCCTCCAACTCAGAGACCCTTCTGACTCCACCTCCCGAGTGCTGGGATGGAAGGTGAGTGCCACCACGCCCAGGTGGCCCTTGTCTTTATTTCTAGCCCTTTGCCCAGTGATCTATGAAACCAATGTCAAGAATGGATGTCAGTCGAGCACAGTGGCTCACATCAACATAGAGTTCCAGAACAGCAGGGCTGCACAGAAAGACCCTGCCTCAACCGGGAAAGGAAAGGGAAAGGGGGAAAGGGAAAGGGGGAAAGGGAAAAAGGGAAAGGGGGAAAGGGAAAGGAAAGGAAAGGAAAGGAAAGGAAAGGAAAGGAAAGGAAAGGAAAGGACCCTGGCCTCTGGCTCCAGACCCTAGGGAGAGTGCAGCCTGCTCACCAGGAACCGGATCTTCTTCATGCTGAAAGTGCTGGAGCTGCGCAGGTGGTCAGCCAGGCGCCCAGGGGTGGCGATCACCACATGCGGCCTCCGAGAGAGTTCCAGCGCCTGGGCCACCATGTCTGGAATGGAGGGAGAGGTGAGGCCGGGTGGGCGGGGTCAGCAGGGACCCCGTGGCCCACCCCAGCCTCTCAGCCCCCATACCCATGCCGCCAACGATAATGCAGTCCTTCAGGCCCAGGGGCTTTCCCAGCACCCGGAACTGCTCAGCAATCTGGTAGGCCAGCTCCCTGTGGGTGAGAAGGGCCAGCTGGGTCAGTGAGCACCTGTGCCTGTCTCCCATCCTTCCTCCTTCCCGGGCTCCTTGTGGCCTCCACCTCCCTGATGTTGATGGCCTCCTCAAAATCAATTCTAGCGGGACTGGCAATGTGGCTCAGCAGGTATGGTACAAGCTGCCACCCTGAGTTCCACCCCAGGACCCACATGGTGCAAGGAAGAACTGATTCCTGCAGGTGATCCTCTGACCTCCACATGAGGTCATGGCATGCACATACAAACAGTAAATCAACACATAAGGAGAACTGATTCCTGCAGGTGCCTCTGACCTCCACATGAGGTCATGGCATGCACATACAAACAGTAAATCAACGTAAGAGCAGTGTTCACTGCTCAAGTGTGAGGACCTAAGTTCAGCTCTGCAGCATTCTGGTAAAGGCTGGGTGAGCTGCTGTTATCTCTCCTCAGTGGGGGGTGAGGAAGGGCAATGAGACAGCAGGATGGCTGGGGCTCACTGGCCACCCAACCTCGCCAATTAACGTGCCCTAGTTTTGGTGAGAAACCCTGTCTGAATTTTGATGCCCTCTTCGAGTGTGCAGACAAGACACATAAAACAATAAATCTAGCTGGGAGGTGGTAGTGCACGCACGCCTTTAGTCCCAGCACTCGGGAGACAGAGACAGTGGATCTCTGTGAGTTCAAGGCCAGCTGGGCTACAGAGTGAGTTCCAGGAAAGGTTCCAAAGCTACACAGAGAAATACTGTCTCAAAAAACAAAAACAACAACAACAAAAAATCAATAAATCTTTGGCTGGGCATAGTGGTGCACACCTTTAATTCCAGCACTTGGGAGGCTGAGGTAGGAGGGTCTTTTGTGAGTTCAATGTCAGCCTGGTCTACACAGTGAGTTCCAGGACAGCCAGGGCTACATAGTGAGACCCTGTGGTGTGGGGGTGGAAAGGACTTCAGAAGAGGACCCAATGGGTCAGAGACCTGAGTTCAGTTCCCAGTACCCACATTAGGCAGCTTATAATAGCATGTAATTCCAGGAGACCTGACACCCTCTCCTGGCCACTGTGGGTACTGCACTCACATGCATATAACCACACACGAACATATATCATTAACATAAATCTTTTTTTAAAAAGCAAATAAGGTGGAGGGCAATTAAGGAACATGCCTGACATTACCCTCTGGCCTCTACACAACCTACATCCACACGCACACACATACACAACCTAACCTTCGGTGTGACACTTGAGACTCACATTCAAGGTACTCTAATAGTGCTCCAGCATCCTTTCTGTTTCCGGGCCTCTCAACCTCTGTACACAGGAACCTATAGGCCTACAATATCCTTTAGCAGTGTGTATGTATATGCCATGGTGCTTCTATGGTGGTCAGAGGCCAATTTGCTGGAGTCAGTTCTCTGCTTCTACCGTGTGTGTGTCCCTGGGGATTGAACTCAGATCATCAGAGGCTTGTAGACACCTTTCCCTGCTAAGCAATCTTGCTGGCCGAAGAATATCTTTTTGTTTCCCTAGCTGTGAGATTGCTTGTAGCTCCCCCCTGGCTAGCCTTTCCTGAGTCCTAGGAACTTATCACACATACCATGAGTCCTGCTTGATTCTGCATCCCTACAAAAAGGAGTGATTCTTATCCTATTTTATACAAGAAGAAATGTTGTGGGAGACTGTACACTGTGTGAAGATATATCACTGTAATAAAAAGCTGAATGGACAATAGCTGGGCAGGAGGTTTAGGTGGGATTTCCGGGGAGAGAAAGGAAGAGGAGGAGAATCTAGGCACACAGGAGATGCCAAGAAACAGGAGGCGAGGCGCAAGATAGAGAAGAGAGGTAATGTCACATGATAGAACGTAGATTAATATAAATCAGTTAATTTAAGTTATTTATAAGAGCTAGTTGGGAACAAGTCTAAGCTATAGGCTGAGTTTTTATAAATGAGTAATAAGTCTCCATGTCATTATTTGGGAGCAGGTTGGTGGGAGAGAGAAAGACTCAGGGGCAAGGCACTCGCTTCGAAAGCACAGCCAGATTAGTCACATGCAAGGGGTGTGCTGGAGGCTCACCTGGTGGGTGTCAGGACCAGGCAGAAGATGCCGTAAGGGTCCTCAGACAGCTTCTGCAAGATGGGGAGCACAAAGGCGGCTGTCTTGCCACTTCCTGTCTTTGCGCAGCCCAAGCAATCTCGACCTGGGCAGACGGCAAAGCGGTAACATGAAGCAGGGCTCACAACCGCTCCATTGGGCATTCCCTCGTTATTGTAAGAAACAGATGTTTATAGTCTGTTTTCAGTATGAGGTGCACTTAGAGTTCATCAAAGTTACAGATGAGCAGGAGGTGCTGGGCCCCTTTCCCCTAGTTGGTGGCTACTTGTCTTAGAATTCTAAGGCTTGGCTGGGCAGTGGCGGCACAGGCCTTTAGTCCCAGCACTCGGGAGGCAGAGACAGGTGGATCTCTGTGAGTTCCAGGGCAGCCTGGTCTACAGAGTGAGTTCCAGGACAGGCTCCAAAAGCTACACAGAGAAACCCTGTCTCGAAAAACAAAACAAAAAAGAATTCTAAGGGTTGAAATTCTAAGGGTTGGTTCTAAGCAGGTGTCTGCTATGTGACTGAGCCCATGATCGGAAAAGGAGGGCAGCCTCAAGCTCCAAACCATTCATTAGATAAGGTTTGGGGGTCCTAAACCCATGGGATGGAGAATCTGGGAAGGGGACAAGCCCTGCTGTTCCACGGAAGGAAAGGTCCTGAATTTTTCCAGATTTGGGGAAAGGCTTCCAAACTTGCTGGAAATCGGCACACCAGACATTTTTGCCTTTTCTCTGTGCTGGCACCTTTTCCACAGAATGGAATATTAAAAACTGTTTCATTTTTTACTAGTTCCTTGAATTTGTTACTATCTAATGTAACAAATCTAATCATGTATCTAATCATTATGATTGCTTCTTTGAAACATAGCTATGTAGCAAGTTCCAGACCAGCCTGGGCTACTTGAAACTTGATCCTCCCGCTTCCACCTGCTGTATATTGAGATGAATGAGTCACCACCCCTGGCTCCGAGGATGTCTCTTTTTTGTTTTGTTTTGTTTTGTATTTTTCGAGACAGGTTTTTCTGTGTAGCTTTGGAGCCTGTCCTGGAACGCGCTCTGTAGACCAGGCTGGCCTCGAACTCACAGAGATCCGCCTGGCTCTGCCTCCCGAGTGCTGGGATTAAAGGCGTGTGCCACCACCGCCGCCACCGCCCGGCCCAGGGATGTCCCTTTAATGGCAAAGGTGAATTGGGACGAAGAGCACTGACACAAACCCGGAGCCCTGATTTTTACCTGTAGTTTGACGGCTCCTGTTTCTGTTTGCTAAGTCAAAACGACCGCCAGCTCTACCCTATTTTTGCAGTGCCACGGATTCATTCACCAAACTCTCCCTATGCTCGGCACTACGAAAATTTCAGAGGTGCCATTGCCTATGTGACAATGCACACGAGTCAGTCGCAGCCTGAAAGTCAATACTGCGGGTCAGGGTCCCGGAAACGACCAAAGCCGCGCCGGGAGCCGGAGGAGCCCGGAAACGACCAAAGCCGACCCTGACTCGTGGGACCTAAGTTAGACTAACGATGAGGGGACAAAGAAAGGCACGAGAAGAGCGGAGAGGACTCACCCTCCAGGATTGCCGGGATGCAGCCGAGTTGCACCGGCGTGGGCTGCTTCAACCCTAGCTGCCGACATTGTTCCACGAGCCACGAGGATAGCCCGAGCTCAGCGAACCCCGCCATGCTCCGGACTGGCGCGGAGAGTAACTGACGGGCACTTCCGGCGCGCTAATATTGCGTCACGTTCACCTATACTGGTTCCTCAGCCAATCCCAGCCCCGACCGCTTTTCTGGCGTTTTCTGCCTGAACCCGTCTTGTTCGTAGACTAGATACGAACTACAATTCCCAGGAGGCTTTGCATCACGCGGCTTCAGTTTCAATACCGCCGATTGGTCCGGTAGGGCTATGGTTCCCACAGTTCCTGGCGGCGGAGTCCTTCTTCCGGCCTACGTGTCTCCCAAGAAGAGGGCTGGGTATAGGTGTGGCGACATGGCTCCTCCGGCTCCCGGCGCGGCTTCTGGCGGCTCCGGAGAGGTAGACGAGCTGTTCGACGTGAAGAACGCTTTCTACATCGGCAGCTACCAGCAGTGCATCAACGAGGCGCAGCGAGTGAAGGTGGGCGGCGGACAAGGCTGCTTCCGGCGCGCGCTGCGGCTCTGGGTGGACGCGGTTTCTCTAGAAGCAAAGGCTTGTTTTGAACATACTGTATAGCGGAGGCTGACCTTGAAGTCCTGCTCCTTCAGTCTCCACCTCTCCAGCGCTGGGATGACAGGCGTGCACCCCTGCTCCCAGTTTCCAAAACTATATTGGTTGGTTGACAGGGGCTCACTTTGTAGCCTAGGCTGACCTGAAGTCAGGTGGCAGGTGCGCGCCATTGCTTCCATCTTAAAACTTTTACTGTTTCGTCCCCCCACCCTTTTTTTCTTCCGAGACAGGGTTTCATTTTGTTTATGTCTGGCTGTCCTGGAACTCACTGTAGACAAGGCTAGCCTCGAACACAGAGATCCGCCTCCCTCTGCTTCCCGAGTGCTGGGATTAAAGGCATGGGCCACCACTGCCTCGCTTTTTTATGTCTAAAGCCAGGCACATCTTCTATCCCAGCACTTGTGAGTTCAGGGCCAGCCTGATCTACCTAGGGAGTTCTAGGCCAGTCAGAGGTACTATTGCAACCCTATCTTAAGCAATAATAGGCCACGCGTGGTGGCACACACCTTTAATCCCAACACTTAGGACACAGAGGCAGGCTGATCTCTGAGTTTGAAGCCTGCCTGGTCTACATAGTGAGTTCCAGGATAGCCAGGGGTACACAGAGAAACCTGTCTTGAACTGCCCCCTCCCCCCGTCGTCAAAAAGAGAAAAAAAAGCCATAGAGTTATAAAAGGAAGACAGGATCTCCTTTAGCCCAGGACTGTCCTCAAACTCCCCATGTTGCTGAAGAACACTGAATTCCTGATGTTCCTGCCTCTACTCCAGAGTGCTGGTATCAGAGTTGTACCCAGCCATGCCCAGTTATGCAGTACTGGGCATGGAAACCACAGCATTGAGGCAAGTGCTCTGTCAACTGAGTCCCAGTCCTGATTTTATTTGTAAAACAGTTAGCAATCTTGCTTCAGCCTCCCAGATGCGGGGATGACAGGCCTTTTTCACCATGCCCGGCCTGTCTTTTGTTCATGAAAGAGGAGCACAGCATCAGCAACAGCTGGGCTGTTCTTGACATGGTCACCCTGTCACTCATTCCTTCACAGCCCACTCCACTGGGCTCTGGGAGGTGGAGTTGACAGAATGCCTTGGTGACAGGCAGAGCAGGCAGTCAGGAAATGACAGGAAAATGTGTTATGGACAGTGGTGGTCTTAGGTTGGCTGTTCTGCGTGTGAAAACAGCCTGGCATTCCAGGTTCGGGGCAGTGAGGGGCTGGGGGCCTGGCTCCAGTAGAGTGCTTGCAGCATTATTCTTACCAGGCTAACATCTCAGACTTGGTGGGCTCCGCCTTGTTCGGGTTCTCCACTTCCTAGCTTTCCCAGTGATTATGCATTGGCTGACTTCCTAAGCTTCTAGAAGGTTCTCTCCAGTCCCTGGCTTTCTTTCATCTCAGAACAGCAGATGTGGGGTCCTCTCATCCTTAGAACCCCTTTGTTTCCTCTCCTATCACTTCCCTCTGTGTTGCTGCTCTTAAGGACTTGTGTGGTTACGTTCCTGATTCTGGACTCTGAACTCTAGGAATTCAGGACAATAAATGTTTAGTGTGTTAAGTCACCAGTCACTGGCCCAGCTACCTCAGTGACACTCTGAATACTGAACTCCTTCCTTCCTGTCCTTATCTCTTTGGGTTTTTGGATGACACCCAGCTCTCATGGACCTGTCGGTGCTCTTTTCTTCTGTGTGTGTCCTTGTCCAGTACTGCTGTAGCTCATGTTAACCACTTGCATCTCTTCCCTCTTTGTAACTTACCACCGTCCCCTCCACAGCCCTGCCTTAGACACCAGCCATCCCAGTTCCCACCTGGGACCTCAGGGTGTCTCGTAGTTCAGCCATGTCCTTCAGCTAAGTTCTCAGGACACCTTCAGCAGCCCTTCTAGAACCTCAGACCACAGGTGGCCCGTCACACATCTGCTCCTTCCTAGCAGGAGGCACTAGGGTTGTAGGTGGCTTGAGGCAGGCTCTCCCTGCGTCGGCTTCAGGCCCCATGAGAGCTGCTAGTTGCTAGAGTGCTGGGCACTGTGGTGATCAGGACCCCTCAGGGTATGTGGACCCAGCTACTCCAGAGGCTGAGGCAGGAGGATCAATAGAAGCCATCCTGTGCTTTGTCTAAAATAAATGTATGTATCCACTCACCATGGAATGGCCTGGCCTGTGTGCCAAAATCTTAGGTGGGTCTAGTCTCCCTGCCTGTGTCTTTGTTTCTGTCTGTCTCTCTTCCTCCATCTCTTGAAATGCTGGGGATAGAATCCAAGGCCTTCACACACTCAACATCTCTGTCATTTCATGGCTCCTCAGCCCATTCCTCTGGGGGTTCATTCAGCCACTCCCTTGCTGTCGAACACACAGGCCTTCAGCTTCAAATGAGCCAGCAGCTCTCAATTGCCTTACTCCTTCCAAAGCCTCTGTCTCCTTCACAGTCGGCTCTACAGGCTTTGAGGGATGGTGGGAAGGCCTGAACTCTTCTTTTTTTTAAAAAAAAAAAAATTATTTATTCTTATTTCATTTGCATTGGTATGTCTGTGTAAGGGTGTCAGATCTTGGGGTTAGAGACAGTTGTTAGCTGCCATGTGGGTGCTGGAAGTTGAACCCCAGTCCTCTGGAAGAGCGGCCAGTGCTCTTAACTGCTGAACCGTCTCTCCAGCCCAGGCCTGAACTCTTTATTCCCAGCAAAGTCTCAGTATGTTCAGAGTCCAGGCTGATCTTGAGATAATGGAAATCCTCCCGCTTCTGCATCTCCTACCAGCCAGGTCTGCAGGCCATCCTGTCCTCACACTTTCTGCTTCAGGGTCCTGGGGGCCTTGTCCCTGAAAGGTAGTGAAGCTGCTTCTCGTAACGCATGGGCAGCAGACACTGGAGGGTGGCCACAGGTCCCCCACCTTGCAGACACCAAGAGCCAGCGTTGGTGTCTTACCGAGGATGATTCAGGGCCCCCAGGTTGGCCATCTTTGATGGTGCCCTTCTCAGAGTGTCCTTTGAGATCATTTATTTAACCAGGCATGGTGGTGTACACCTGTCATCCCAGCATGCAGGAGGCAGAAGCAAGAAGATCCAACATTCAAGGTTGTTCTCAGCTACATTTGATACCCAAAACTCCCCCAAATGATAAAATTGAAGCCCATCTGAGCTGTGAGCAGGACTTGTCAGCACCCAGAGGGGCTGGAGCACACAGTGCTGATGTAGCTGTAGTGGTATTGCGCTCCGTGACACTTGGTATGGTGGTCCAGCCTCCAGCTCACATTTTTTGAGACAGTGGGTTTTTCATACTGTGAGCCCTCTGGAGGCTCTCGTGGGATTCTGGGTCTCCTGGATTCCAGCTGAGGCCCAGAGCTATTTAGACTGGGTACACCCTGAAGCTGCCCAGCAGCCTTCCACCTCACTCTGCCCATCTCCCCACAGCTGTCCAGTCCCGAGAGAGAAGTGGAGAGGGATGTCTTCCTGTACAGAGCGTACATTGCACAGGTCAGTGTGGGCCCAGCCTGGGGAGGGGCACAAAGCACTCTGCAGGAAAGCTGCTGTGGGCAGCCAGGCCCGGGGCCTGTGTCAGGATTCTTAATCATGGGGAGAGATGGTGTGTGTGGTCAGGGGACAGTTTGCTGCATTCCATTCTCTCCTTCCATTGTGTGGGTCCTAAGAATTGAACTCGGGTCACAGGCCTAGCGGCCATCTCACATAGCCCAGGCTGTCCTTGAACTCACTCTGTAGCCCAGGATGACCTTTCTCCTCCTCCCTCCAGCTCCTGTGTGCCACTGTGCTTGGCTTCATCATTACTCACATAAAACAGTGAGATGTAGGCCAGGCGGTGGTGGCGCACGCCTTTAATCCCAGCACTTGGGAGGCAGAGGCAGGCAGATCTCTGTGAGTTCGAGGCCAGCCTGGGCTACAGAGTGAGAGCCAGGACAGGCACCAAAACTACACAGAGAAACCCTGTCTCAAAAAAAAAAAAAACAAACAAACAGAAAAACCAGTGAGGTGTGTTTTCACATTCTAAAAGCAACCCCAAGCCATGTAGGGTGGCACAGACTTGTCACCCCAGCACTTTGGAGGCAGAGGCAGGAGCTCAGGTTTGTGGGTAGCCTGGGCTACACAGCAAGACCCTGCTCAAAAATACATATTTCTACTCATCTCTGAAAAGCTCTTCTTCACTCTGGCCCAGGGCGAGGCTCAGGTGCCCAAGAGTGGTACTTGGCAGACAGAAATCCCCCTGCCTCAGCACATGATCTGTGCCACCAGCCCCATCCTATCCCACACTCCTGTGTGTGTCAAGGGAAAGCTGGGTGTGACTCTCCAGCAGGGTGTGGTGACATATCTCTGGTACATGGAAGGCTGAGGCAGGGGGATTTCTGCAAGTCTGAGAGCAGCCTGGGTGAGAAATAGTACAGCAAGGGACAGGGTGGCTCCAGAAGTAGCTGTAGGCGTCAGGCGGTGAGGGAAAGGTAGGGCACTGCTGTCCCCACACTGCCAACACCATCAACCAGCTACAGCAATGGGACGTGGTGTGACAGGGGAGGCGCACCTGGCAATCTTGCTGCCTGCTGTTGGAGCAGCTGACGATGTCCTGGTGTGGGCAGTGTGTGGGCAGTGCTGGTGGCGGGTAGGAAGGACTGATGTGCACTTGTGACT